CCCAGCAGACATGAGGAGGCTGCAGCCAATTCTTCTCTTGCAACTGAAGAGCAACAGCCATGAAGTTACTGAACCAGTCTTAGCTGCCTTACCTATTCATATAGGCCTTTTTAAGACAGCAAATAACACTTGTAAAGTTAAAGCAATCTCTGAAAAACGCCAATCACTTGTTTTTAAAATGTTTAAAGTTTAATAGTAATAAAATGGTTATAAAAATAGTAATACAATTAGAGTAATAATAATTTGGACAATTTGAATTAGGACAATATGAGACAATAGAGACAAAAAGTTACGGATGTCCGGGTGTGGGAACTCAGCACATCCCTTTGGATATCTAGAGTTGCCAAGAACCCCGTCAGGGGGCTCAGAGACCCTGGCATGCTGCCCAGAACACCTGGAGATTTGATTTTGACCCTTGCAGCGAATTGCCAGCTTTGTATGAGGACATGAAAGTCACACAGGTTTGAACAGTATAATAATAAAGTATTCACAGGGTGAAAATGTAGATTTTAGGATTTTTGGTATGGGGGTTATGGGGACAAGATGGAGGAATCAGGGCGTGTCCAGCCTTTCTTCTTCTTCTTCTTGTTCTCCATTTTCTGCAGCGATGTTGGCACTTTGGGATTGGTTTAGAGTAGAGGTGCACTGTCTAACATAGGTGATAGGTATTGGGAATTAAGTGTAAATATGATATATGTAGTTTGTAGTATAAAAAGACAACACCGCCTCGGGGGTGGTCAGAGTGCTCATGGCTGCCCTGCTGAGCAGACCTCGGCTGGGCAGAAAGAAAATTTTATAGATAAGAATTAATAAACAACCTCAGGACGGAAAAGCGAAGAGTCCAGACTTGTTCTTCAGTTACGTGGGCTGAAGCAGAGACATCCTGCACATCTTGGGGCAGAGAACATCAACAGCCGACCCAAGATCCAGGCACCTTCTTCTGGGCAGCACAAATCTGAAAAAGGACCCCTGTTAACAGAGGATTAACCCTTAAAAACAATAGCTTGTTACATATTCATACACTTCATACATGATGTTATAAACAAAAAATCTGCCACATTTTTTGGGAAGAAAAAGAGCTGCAAAACCAGTTGGACTAGTTGTTGCCAAGGTGGAGTTCTACCTGTTATTGTAATCACTGGTTGTTTTAGCTAATTGCTCCTTTTGTATCAGTAAGGCTCTCCTGGGGCTAAGTTAATGGCTCTTCTCCCCAGACAGTGGGTGGAGGGTTCATGGGGGGGGCATCAGAGAAGATACAAAACAGCTTCGAGACCAGCATGCCATGGGAAGGAACATCAAAGTTACCAAAAAGACCCCAAAAACAATGAGCCAATACAGAATTAAGAGATTAGAGTGACATATGGATGTGAGGAACAGAGTGCTGAGCCTGCAGAGATGCTGAGAACCTTTGTTGCCCCTCACCCTGAGCAGAGACATCATCTGGAACCAGGGCCACAAGCCGGTGAGCCACTCAATATGTAGGGAAACCTAGGCCTATGTCCACTGCTCTCCTGAGAACAGGTTCTTTAGCTTGGGTTCCTAAAGGACAAAGCTGTGCATTCCTTTTTCTCCAACTCATCTTGGGAGTGGTGACAGCTAACCACAGACTTGTCAAGCTTCCCAACCTTGAGCTGGTCACTTTTAACAAAGGCATTAGAAAGGGAAAAGTCTCTTGCCCTGTTTATTTCACATGATGCATAAATTCCATTCAAATACAGGATTCTGTCTGGTCATCTTCAACTTCTTCCTCTGAGTCCTAACAGTACCTTTGAGGTGGGAAGAAGTTCGTTTCTTCTGATGAGAGGGCCATAAATTCTTTTTCTCTGAAAGATTTAGGTGTCCTGAAGCTGCTATTTTGCTGCAAGTTCTTTCTTTAAAAAAAGTATCCTACATAGCATAGTTTCTATTTTAACATTTTTTATAACCCAAAACTATATTTAACACACTACTTAAGAGAATTAATACAGCATTACTTTCTAACACAACACATATAATATTCATTTCCATATTTGCGGAAATGACTATAAGGTAAGGCGGTGACGGCACCCCCGAGGGCAGAGATGCTTGTTAGCGAATTTTCCAGCATTTCCCCGCTCCCGAGGGCAGAGCTCCTTGTTAGCTGCCGCTTTCCCAGTGTTTCCCCGCTCCCGAGGGCAGAGCTCCTTGCTCGCAGTTCCCAGCGTTTCCCCGCTCCCGAGGGCAGAGCTCCTTGCTCGCAGTTCCCAGCGTTTCCCCACGGCCGCTCTCAGCAGCGCTGCAGGTGGGGGCAGCCCCGCAGCCGTGCCGGAGCTCGGCACTGCAGCAAGGGATGGCTCAGCGCTGCCCGTGCCGGCTGCCAGCCCCAGGCGAGGGTGGCAGCTGTGCTGGGACACGTCTGACCTTCCTCTTACCCCAGCATTGCAGCAGCCCGTGAGCCTGTATCAGCCTGCCCAGCAGGTGAGTGATGAGACGCCCTTTAGGCTGAGCCCTAAAGGCCTCTTTCTGTCCCTCTGCTGCCCGCGTGCTGCTTGCCAGCCCAGGGCTGCTCCTCTTTGGAATTTTGTCTTGCCTGCCTCCCAAATTCCTCTGCTCCTGCTGCTGCTCCTCAGCTTGGCGAGAGACTCCAAGTCCAAGTTATCATTGCCGGTGCTCTTGCTGCCGCTGCATCCTGCGCGGTGTCCCGTGCAGGGGGGAAAGGATGCTGGGGCAGCTGCCTGTGGAGCAGCAGCCCTGGAGGCAGCATTGTGCATCTCCGCCAGGACTCCAGCTTGCCAGTGGGAGTGTTCATCTGGGAGGTGGAGAACGGGAGGGATGAGGACGTGGAGGTGTCCATCATGTTCAGCCTACAGAACGGCCCGGGAGCGGCGGAGGCCGGGAGCGGCGGGCACTGGAACGAGCCCTTCACCTTCCACAAGGATGGCCAGCGGGTTGCTGGGGTCCTGCTGCACCACTGCCCGCCCGTGAACCCCTTCACCCTGGCCATCTCTGCCCGGGAGAAGGTAAAGGGCTGGCCCTGCTGCTGGGGCTCCTGCCGGGGAGGTTGTGCAGCCCTGCTGCATGTGGGGCAGCTGCCTGCAGGCAGCTGGCAAAGGATGGCGGTGCAAGGCCTTGGGGTTAGCAGCGTTCCTCAGCGCTTGCCTGACACCAGGAGAGGGGACATGACTTCCCTGAGGGCACCCTCTTTGGGGATGGTGTCAGGAGAGCGGCTGAGGCAACGAGTTGAGAGTTGCTGGGCAGCCCATGAGAAGCGAGTGTCACGTCCTGCTGGTGGTACTGGGGAGGGGAGAGCATGAATCTTCTCCTCCAAAGGAGCAGCCGCTGATGATGCTCTTCCCTTGTTCAGGCTGGCACGGGAGTCACCCATGTGACGGCATTCAATCCCACGGGATTGGGTAGAGAGGTGTGGCAGGACCTCCTGCAGGATGGCAGGCTGGATTCACCCCCTGGTGAGTGCCTCCATCCTCCGTGGGACGGGTGCAGGGGAGCAGGGCAAGTGGGTGGCAGTGCTGCTTCTGGGCACCCAAGCAGGGCAGAGCTCTTTCCTCCAGCCTCCTTGGCTGATCAAAATCTCCCCAGGATGTTGTGGCTTGTTCCCCAATTTAGGCTGTATCCAGACTTCCTATTGCTTGTCCTTGCTGTGGTTCTCCAAAAGCTGTTCATGCCACTTTGGGGCTATTTTTAACAATTAGGGATGCCCTGACACACTACGAGGAGTGGGAGAGGAAGATCAAAGCGTGGCAGGATCCCATCCTGGAGAACAGGTAGGGCAGATGGGAGCACCTTCCCAGTGGCCTCCTGGGCTTGGCTGCCACAGGTTCATCACCACCTCAGCCTCCGAGGCTGAGCTTCCCTCTTTCCCGCAGCCAGCTGCCTTCCTGGTACAAGTCAGCCCTGTTCAATGAGCTCTACTTCCTGACGGATGGAGGGACCATCTGGATGGAGGTGCCCCCTGATTGCCGTGCCGAGGAGCTGCAGGGGCCGGCGGGGGCGGGGCTCTCCCACCTCCTCCCTGTCCTGCGGGAGTACGGAAGGTTTGCTTATTTGGAAGGTAACTCACAAGGATGGGAGGCACTCTCCAGCCTCAAGCCCTCCTCCCATAACTGTAGCCATGTGTTTTGAGCTCGCCATGGGGGTGTTTTTCACACTCCAGTGGGTAGGGGGCAGTGCTACTCCCAGGAAAAGCCCTTGCAGCCCTGAAGGATAGGGCATGGAGTGTTCTGCACATGCCTGGTGCTCTGGGTAGAGAATGAAACCCTCTTGGAATGGGAGCCCCTGTCCGTGCTGGGAAAGATGCCCCTGTCCAGGGCCCTGTGGAGGGAGGAGCTTTGCCCCTTGTCCCCTGCCCCTGGCAGTCTCCTTTGCCTCACCACCTGCCCTGTCCTGCCAGGCCAGGAGTACTGGATGTACAACACCTACGATGTCCATTTCTACGCCTCCTTCGCTCTCATCATGCTGTGGCCCAAGCTGCAGATCAGCCTGCAGTATGACATTGGTGAGTGTCCCCAGAGCCCTGCCTTGCTGCCTGCTCAGGGCTTCACCTGGGGAGGAGACAGAGCCTTGGGCACAGCTGCTGCTGCTGCTGCTGCAGAGATATGTGCCTTGGAGCCAGCAGCCCCCTCCGGCCGCTCTGCTGTGCCCAGCGCTTGCAGCCCTGGAATGTTGCTGCCCCAGCAGCTCTGTGCCCAGCACTGGGGGCACCTTCTTGCCATGCTGGGGGATGCCCAACTGCCCTGGGGGAGCCCCTTATTTTCCCAGCTCTGTCCCTGCCTCTTGCATGGAGCTGTTTGCAGACTCCCAGTGGGAGATGGGCCACAGGCCATCACTCCAGGCTGAGTGGGGCCCTGCTGGCCTGCAGCAGCTGGGGTCCCAAGGAGCTCCATGTGATGGGTGGTCTGACAAAGAAGAGCCCAAGCCAGGGAGGGTCACAGCTGGGGTCACACAATGGCCTTCAGTGGCAAGCGAGGCCACTACTGAGGAAAGGGAACAGGGACACTGATCTGTGAAAGAGAGGAGACAGTGTGTGTTTGCAGAAAAGCTTTATTGGGAGAATAAAGTTGCTGAAGGTGCTGAAGCAGGTGCTGAAGGAGATGCTGAAGCAGGTGCTGAAGGAGATGCTGAAGCAGGAGGAAGGGCTGCAACTTGGCATTGCCTCTTTTCTGGGAGTTCCAATGCTACCAGCCCTCAATCCATGAGCTCCTTCTTCCTCCAGAATATGTTGTAGCCAACCCTGAGGGGACACCAGCAGAGGAAATGTCAGGGTGGGACATGAGAGTGGCCCAGTGCCCACTCAGCCCTGTATTCTCCCAAAACATTTGCACCTTGTCAGGACGCCCAGGGAAGCTACACACAAGCACCCTTCCTCCCTCACTTTCACACTGGCAGCAGCTCTGCCAAATGCTGAGCACCACAGGCTGGGAGCACCACCCTTCATCCCCACCCTGGGGCCATTCAGGATTCCTTCTTAGGCCTTTGGCTTTGGAAATGCCTCTCAGGTGGTGAAGCTTCCCTTGAGCTTCTCACAGAAACTTTGCACACCAAGTCCTTCTGTTGCCTTATCAAGGAATACTCCAATACTCCAATACTCCAAAAGCCTTGGGGAATTACTTGCCTGAATCACAGCCCAAGTGGAACAATGTTATCATTACTGGAACTGTGAAAAATTCCTGTAATTACCCTCTCAAACTACATCCAGGATGAAGACTGGCTGATGACTTAGTTCAATCATCCCAGGACTTTACCACAGTATTCCTAAGTGAGGCTCCTCATTGCCGGCCTGGATCTATAATTAAATCTCTGCTCTAATTGCGGTAAACCCTCCCAAATCACCTTATAAATGTTAAATTAGTCAATGGTTACGTGCTGCCACGCCCTGTAGACAGAAACCATTGAGCAGGTCTGAGACTGAGAGCGGAACCAGCCCCAGCAGGGATCCATCCGTAGTTTAGAAAGCAGTGGGCACCTTCCTGAACTTTGTGATTCATTTTAATATTCTCACTTCTCCTTGTCTATCTCCAGCTTCCATGTAAATCATTCTAGATTCATTCTAACCCATTTTTTTCATTTCTATGTTTTACCCCTGCCCAAAGCAATCAAGTGAACCTTGCCATGGAACTTTGCTAAGTCCTGTTTTTGCAAGCAGATACTAAACCTCCTTTTGCCAACACCTGTGAGAGTGACTCCTAAGTGACCTAAAACACTCATTTGTGACAGCCCCAACCCCTCGGGAGTGCACAGGGGACGTGCACAGGGTGGGACAGAGAGCTCACAAGGTGGCTTTCCAGTCGTCTGCAAGTTTCTCTGAGTGTAACCTCAGCAGCCACATGGTCTTCAAAACCTCCTTTCGGTCCTTATCCACAAAGCACTGGCCCGTGAAAACAGTGATGGAGTCTGTGGGACAAGACAGGAGAGGAGGGGAGCGTGGCAGAGGTGGCAGGTCAGTGGCTGCCCCAGCACAGGGGACAGTAGAGCCCTGCTGTCCCCGGCCTCTGGGGACAGCGGGGATGGGGAAAGCAGCAGGAGGGCTCAGGGCTGGCGTGTCACACGGACATGGGCAGGCAGTGCAGGCTCCAGCCCCTGCTGCCTCTCCTGCAGCCTGGGACTGGCAGCTGACAGCAACCGAGGAGCTCCAGGGACAGGGATGGGGGAGCTCCAGGGAGGGAGAGCAGTGGGGATAGTGCAGGGGAAGGCAGGGAATCAGCAAGGGCACTGCAGGGAGGGCAGAAGGGAGGTCTGGGGACAAAACAAGGATGCTAAGAAAAGGCTGATTACCTGAAAAGTTCCAGTGGACAGTGAAACCAAAGGTGGGCTGGGTCCGATATGGGAGCTGCTGGGACCCCAGCAGAGGTGATTCCACAATCTTTAATGGGGAGACTGCCACAGCTGTGAGGTACTTGCCAGTGAAGTCACCATTTTCCTTTACTTCATAAATGGTCATGTTGGAGCCCAGGTCATTCTGCCAGTGTCCAGTCAGCTTACACTGGAGAGGAAAGAACTCAGCACTTGTGGCACAGCACAGCCTGCAGCCACAGCCCCCTGCCCACCCCACCCTGTGCATCCCACCCCTGATGGTACCTGCTCTGTAGCTTGGAGGCCCTGAGCCCCCAGGGCCAGGAAGAGCACGAGGAGCAAGGGAGTTGCTTGCACCATCTCTGCAGCAGGCAGAGAGCTGATGGACCTGGGGATGTGCTCCTTGCAGGTCTCTGCTGATGCTCCTGCTCCCTCTCCTTTTTATTGGTGCCAGATGGGTGCGTGGCAGCTCTGGCCAGGACATTGTGCAATCTGGGTGTCCCCAGTTTTATCAGCTATCAGAGGGACTCGTGACAGCTGATCTTCCCAGAATGCCTTTGTTCCAAGATAAATGCAGGTGGACAGCCCAGGTGAGATGCTCCAGTATTGTGGTGCCACAGTACCCCTCCAGCCTCCTTCAGTGACCCCAAGGGAGAGCTTCTTTGCATCTTTGTCCCTCTCCATTTGCTGTGGGCTCTGACATGGGAAGATACCAGCGGGTGCAGGGGGGGCACATATGGGAGCTTGCTCTCGCCATGTAACATTATTCCTCTGCCCAAAAATTCTCCCCTGGGAGCAAAAAAAGGGCATTTGTCACCAATGGCAGCACTGGGGCAGCATAATGGAGAGGAGAGGAGAGGAGAGGAGAGGAGAGGAGAGGAGAGGAGAGGAGAGGAGAGGAGAGGAGAGGAGAGGAGAGGAGAGGAGAGGAGAGGAGAGGAGAGGAGAGGAGAGGAGAGGAGAGGAGAGGAGAGGAGAGGAGAGGAGAGGAGAGGAGAGGAGAGGAGAGGAGAGGAGAGGAGAGGAGAGGAGAGGAGAGGAGAGGAGAGGAGAGGAGAGGAGAGGAGAGGAGAGGAGAGAGGCTACTTCATATCTGCCAGCCCTGATAGCTGTTGAGTATTAAGGATGCACTTTGGCACTAAAGAAGTCCTGCCATGGCCAGAAAGAGATAATAGCCCTTCTTGTGGTGTCCCCAGAACTCCTCCACCCTTTCTTGTGGTGTCCCAGAGATCCAACGTGTTTCCTGTGGTGTCCTCAAAGCTCCCACACCCTGCCTGGGGTATCTTTAATGCTCTTCTCACCTGCTGCCCTCGCTGTGCTCCCTGCCAGCTCACTCAGTGTCCCCCCCAGACTCCATCACTGTCCAGAGGGATCGGGGCTCTCCTATCTCACGGGTGTCCCTTGGCAGGAGGCTCAGCCCCCTCTGATATAAAAGGAGCAGAGTCTGACACCACACATGGCCACCAGCACCATGGGCACCCAGGGCTGCTGCTGCTGCTCGCCCTGGCCCTGCTCATGGCCCGTGGTGCTGCATCTGGGGAGGTGAGAGCAGCCCTGGGGCAGTCTGGCCGTGCTGAGCCGTGCTGTGCTGTGCTGTGCTGAGCCGTGCTGTGCTGTGCTGTGCTGAGCCGTGCTGAGCTGTGCTGTGCTGTGCTGTCCCGGGTGCAGGGTGGGGGACGAGGGGCTGCATGCCCTGGCTGTGCCATCCCCGTGGTGTGTGTTTTCTCTGTGCCATGCTCTGCCACCACAGCAGACAAAGGTTTTGCCTGAGGGGCTGCAGGTTCTGGGTGCACCGTCCTGTACCATGCTGGGCCACAGCGCAGTGTCCATGACCAAGGAGGCTGCCAGCTCTGGCTGTGCTTCCCTGGGGCTGCTGTGGGTCACCTCCGCCTGCCACAGGGTACCTCGAGCTCTGCTGCCCTGCCCAGAGACTGAGGGTTGCTCTCCTGACTGATGCCCATGAGCTGGTCACAGCTGCCAGGGCGAGGGGCTGTGCCATGGGGCACACATCCCCTGCTCAGCCAGGCTGAACGTGGGACTGAGCCTGGGCACTGACTGAGCCACCCACACAAGCCCCAGGGTCACCTGCAGGGCCTGTGGAGAAACGAGCTGGGCTCTTACATGACCCTTTTGGCCCTGAACACAGCTGGGACCTCCTTGGGCTCCTGGCACAGCGCAGCAGCAGCCACCAACAAGCAGACCCTGCTGTCACCTCTGCAAGGAGCCCAGCAGCCAAGAGCTAACCCAGCTTCGGCTCCACTGTGCAGTGGCAGCTCCCAGGTACAGCAGTGAGAGCACCCCCTGCCCATGCTGGGAGTCCCCTGGCTGGCACTCCAGTCCCTTGTGCACCCAGAGGAGCCCTGGCTGTGGGCACAGAACTGGCCCACACATCTGCCCCTGCCTGGGGAGATGGAGGGGATGCGGGACATGGGATTGTGGGGGCGTCTGTCTGGGACAGTGCCACAGGCAGAGTAGGAGCTTCAGACATTGTTTATTAAATAAGCCCTCCTGCTGAATCACAAGGCTCAGAAAGCACTCTCTTGCATTCTAGAATCCTGCCTACTGAAGAGTTTGGGCAGAGCTGGATCCAACTTAGCCCCAGATTTTGTCAATGGATTATGTCTAAAGGATTATACAGGTGCAACAGAAATTTTATACAACATAGTACCACAGCACTGAGGATGGCAAATCAGATATATTTATATAAAAACAAATAATTTATTATGATAATTAGACAAAAATATCTTTATAAGAATTATTTACTACAGATTAGAAGCTATAACAATTTCTATAGTACGATGCAATATTTTGAAGCAGTATTCATTATATTAAAGCTAGCTAGCAAGGCCAATTACAAAGTAGACCCTGAAGTTTCCCATACCAGTAATTGTGGGCAAATCACTCTGGTTCAGCCTCAAGAAGGGGGTATCTCCATGCAAGGGAGGAATCTCCACACACACTCTGGGAAGGAGGGTTTTAGAAGACTTGACCTTAGAAATGGGGGCAAGCTTTTACAGCATAATGTGACTTGGCTATCATCAGGATGTCAGCTGTGGCAGTTCAGCATCTTTAGATACATTATCAATAGTATCACTTGCCGGTTTCCTTTCTTGGTTGTTTGCCAGTTCTATCACACCTACACATCGCTGTTCAGGATGTTGAACTTCAGGGACTGATGAGTCAGACTCATTTCAGCATTGTTCATTACTAAAAGCAGCATGACACCCCTTTCTCCATTCCCCCCTGCAAATAGTGGATTGCAAACATTTGCAAATAGGGAATTGTTCAAGTTATTTCGCCCCCACTGCAGGCACAGCATCCTGATACAGAAAGGGGACTGGGGTGTCCCTCTCTCTGTCCTAGGGATGCAGTGCCTATCTGTCCAGGAGATCTGTGTTTCTGTGGGCACAACAAGAGCTCCCTCCTTTCTATCCCTCCCACACCAGGATTGCACGGCCTTCAAATGCTGCAGTGGCAGAGAAAGAAGGAGAAGGGTGCCCAGCCCTGGGCAGAAGGGACTCGATGTAATCAAGGGCCTGCAGCCCTGTGGCTCAGTTGCTGCCCACAGAGGCCTTCCCAGGAGGAATGCTCTCTCCTCTGCTGCTGGCAAGGCAGGGCAGAGCCAGGAGCCAAGCAAGAAGCAGGTCTTACCTGCTGCTATTGCATCTGGAGAAGTGGGTAAAGTGCACATCCCTGCTCCCTTCAGCAATGCTCCACAAGAGCCAGACAGCACTGGGACTTGTCCCCTCCCTGCCCCCTAGCCCTCCAGCCTAGTCCAGGAAGATAAAGGGGAATTGCAAGAGTTCCCTCTTCTTGTTTGATCCTGTGCCAAAGAAGACACCAAAGAAGAACAAGAGTAGACAGCTGGATAGATTTATTAAGAACTGAAGTGATTTATCCCCTTTCATGTGCTCCACTGCCTGCCCCCGGCACCAGCAGGGAGGGGGCCATGGTACCAGACCAGGACCTGCTTCTTGGGCTCAGATTGTCACTGTCCAGGGAGCCGGGTCTCCCCTGGGGATTGTATCTGCCACAGGCCCTGCTGGGGCAGAGCCAGTCACAATGTGCAGTGTCACCCCAGGACAACTACAGCATCCGTGTGCCTGAGTGCACCACTCCAATATCGCACACACACATTCACCCACACCCTTTTCTTTCCCTGCAGGACAGCTGCCCACCTCACCCAGCCCAATGCCTGCAGGAGAGAGGTCTCCTGTGCCTCTGGGCAAGGTACCAGCTGCACTTTGGGATGGCTGGGGAGCCTGCAGGCTGTCAGAGCCCTGAGCGATAGGGAAGGGGAGGCACAGGCTCCAGCAGCCACACACAACTCCTTAAGCCACCACACTCTGAGGAGATATCCCCCACACCTCTGGTCCCCCCTTGTGCTCAGCACCAGCAGCTGGAAGCCCTCTGAGGTCAAGGGCACGTAGCGGAGGTAGGGAAGGAAAACAGCAATGTGAGTACTAGCACAGAGAGGGAGGGGAGGGTCCCTGCCTGCCATCTGCACCCCCCAGCCCGTGGTGCCCTGCCCAGTGCCACGAGGCTCAAGGGTGGCTGTGGCCCTGGGCGAGCTGTGCCAGTGCCTGTGCCCGGCCAGCCCGGCGCTCCAGGGCCAGCTGCATGCTCCAGATGCTGAGGGGCCGCATGTAGGCCAGCGAGCGGTACACCTTCTTCTCCCGGTAGGCCTCCGGCGTCTGGAAGGCCATGCCCAGCCGCTCCCACACGGTCCGGTAGCAGCCCTCCGCCGTACGGAAGCCTTCCTCCACCATGCCCTGCACGAGAGGGAACAGCACCATCAGCACGCCCACAGAGCACACCCTGGTGAGCACAGCAGCAGCAGCATCCTCCCCGCTCACCTCCTGGATCATGGTGGCAGCCAGGGAGTAGACCACGCCGACCCAGACCTCGTTGGACTGCACGCTGGAGGTGTCGGGCACGCCGTCGGGCCTCATGCCGTTCACGGCGCCCATGGTGCCGCCCGCAAAGCCCAGCACGTTCTTCTCGAAGATGGTCTTGAGCGCGCTGAGGACGTGGCTCTTGGGGAAAACCTGGGTGGACAGAGGCGGGCTGGGTGCTCACGTGGACCCCTCAGGCTGGGGCTGGAGCAGGATTGAATTTTCCGTGAGGAAAAGGGCAACACAGCTCGCTGGGTCAACAGACACAAATGCCCACCTCAAAAAATAACAGGAGGAAGTGAAACATCTCTTTCCCCAAAAGGTTTAAAAAGCCCCTAAAATACTTTAGAGACATGCTGAACCACATTCCACGTTGCTCAAGAGGATGTTGACAGTTCATCTAACTAGCTGATCTCCACAAACAGTTTCTCACCACCCACAATCACTGGCGAAGCCCCTTCCCCATCGCTTGTGG